TTTGTGAGCCACAATGGACGTACTTAGGCCAGTCATATCATCATATGACCAAGCGAATATGTCCTCATACTCCTTTAGAAATTATGTATATTCTTTCTTCTTTGATGGCGATAGGTGAATGCTGATTCGTGTTTCCTTGACATTTTTTGCATCTCCCAGGTTGATAATTTCGGTCTCGTCCAGGTTGGACTTAGGTCTGTTCTCAAAGTTCTCAACTTCTTTGACAATCTCTCAGATATGTCATCTTCCTCTGAATCAATGTCCATTTGTTGTGTTGTCTCATTGCTTGTCACTGTCATTGGTTCATCAAGACAAGTAAAAGTAATGCCCGAGGCACATCGGGCTTTGGTTGTCCTGATGGTCCAATTCTTGAGATGTGCCCCTCTGCTCACAGCTTGTAGGGAAGGGCCTTCCTCCCCCTCCTCCTTGAGAATAATGCAACAATCTATATAATTGTCCTCCAAAAACAAGTTTTTCACTGCTACAAGTGCTTCTTCTTCATCTGACCCATAAATAATGTCAGCCTGTTGGAAAGTCTGCTCCAGATGTGGTATTAGTTGCTCTAGTGGATATTAAGGACCACGCCATGGTGGCAACCCGTTATTGAATTCTTCACAGGTGTATTCATATCCCAAGCCAAAGGTAGTGCCATGTTTCATGAGTTTTATGGGTTTAGAGATTCCTTGGAGGTTCTTGCCGAGCCCTTTGCCAGGTTCGTACCCACTCCAACTTAGTATACTCTCGATTTTGCTATCCCACCATTTGTCTTTGTCGATAGCATTGACCCGCTTAATGTGGTGGTAAGTTTCTCCACCAAGCTTCCTTCTTCCCTCGATCGCCGGAATGGTCTGGCGACTGTATATAGGGTTGCTACCGTTGTTGTGAATGATCACTTCCTGGTGATTCCATTCAAACTTACTGCCTGATGCAGCGTTGATGCTACGGCCCTAGTATTATGAATCCATGGCCGTCCCAGTAGCAAGTTGTAAGATTCTAGTACATCTATCACTGGAAATCGACCTCAAACCAGATTGGTCCCATCTGTAAGCATAGAATAATCTCACCAATAGTGGACCTTTGAAAACCATCGAAGGCTTTCACATTGATTGCTCCCTCCTTTATCTCATGTAGCCCTTTACCCAACTTCTTGAGTGTTACCAGCGGACAAATGTTAACATTGGAACCTCCATCGATCAGGATTCTAGTGATGAAATAATCTTCGCATTGCACACTGCCCCGTTTCTTCTGCTCTAGCATGGCCGCGCTAAGGCCTCGCTTGGCTCACGCTAGAGTAGATTAGCTATTTATCTCTTCTTTTCTTTCTTCTTTCACATGTACTCAACTCCAATGAGCTAATTTCCTTGCTTTAATTTAGCTCCAAACACTGTCCTAAGTCCTCATAAGCACGACATGCTCCTGTAAAACATAAAATTCATAATTAGAGCCATTTTATCGTCATTTAACCTTCCTAGAACAGTGAAGCGTAGTCAAGTTGGGGCATAAATAGTCGTCAAACTACATGAATCTATCCTATTATCATAAATCATTGCGTAAAGGTAAATTATTTTCAAATATCGAAAGGGATCATTCTTTTTGGCACGGATTAAAGAGAAAAAAGGTTCACAAAAATTGAGACGGAGGGAGTAAGTTTCATTAAAATTTATGTTAATGATAAATAGATTAAACTTTTGAGTTGTATTGTTACCTTTGTTTTATAAAATGAGAAATGTAATATTTCTAAAATCTTTATATTTCAAAATAGCACTTGTTAAATCTTTAAGGATTGAAATCTCATGTTGTTAATTGCTTAATATTACATGGGAAAGGATCTTATTTGATTTTATTCAAACGGTTTGGATTGACTATAAACGTTATGATTTGATAAAATATATACTTTGAGGCTATATAGTTATAAATCTATTTTTGGAGTATCAAATATTTTGGGAGTTATTTGTGTTCACCAAGATTGGCTTCGAATATATCGTGTTTGTCGTTATGAAACTACACGTGCCGCTGTAGGCGTAGATGGCCACTTTATGATATAGGCTACGGCAGAATATCCTCCTTGAGAGGGTGCTATTTTGTGATATTACTAGCATAGCTGAGTCAATTCATACGACACTGCGATGAGACGACCTGAACAAGTAGGTATATGATAATTGCCGCCACTAGATACATAATCTAGTTGACCTTCTTGTGTCGATGATGGTATAGTACTCCCATTGAAAGGTAAAAGATAATTTTATTATGTATATGCCTAAGGAGCTGAAAGTAATTTCAATGACTTAATGAAATTGAAATGATTTTGCATGATTTTTATTAGGATCATGGATTGATATAAATATTTTAAAAGTTTGTATGATGATTTGCATTTTACTAGTCTTTTCATTTAACATGATAAGGATATGAACTGGTGTCATAGTTTATCGCTTTATATAAAATGTTGGTTGCATATGATTTATAAAGCTTGTCCCGGGAACTCGAGTTAGAGAGAGTTTATGACACTTATTGAGTACTATGGTAGTGTACTCAACCCTCAGGGCCCCCTCTCCAGAGCCTCGCTTTCTTTACATGTTTTCAAGATAAGATGTAGCATGTGATAAGTGAATGAGGCTATGATGCCTCTCTTTCAAAGGAATATAGTGAGGCACCACTTCTATTTCGTGGTAGCTCTCGGGTTGATCTTACTTTCTTCCGGTTGGGGTTTGTCTCAAGTATTTATTCTATCCTTGTGTCATAGATATTTCATAGACGGTTATCATTATTTTGGGTTGTAATTGACAGTTATTTATATTACATGCATGAAAGATATTGTTATATTTATGTGTTTTCAATTATTGAAAATGGTGGATTTAAATATTATGTTTTATGTATGGTCTTAATCATTTAAAATAATTGTGTTTTCAAAATGGCGTCGACATGCATCTATTAGGTATATAGATGTGTATTCTTATACGGGTTGGTTCACCCGGGTTGAGTAGTATACCGGGTATCGATCATGCAGTTTTGGGTCATGTCATTAACGGTTGCTTCCGTGCTTAGTGCTATGCTATTGGAAAAAGTTAAATTCATAATAAATTGATTGATTATGAAATATATAAGCAATTACTAGTATAAATTGATTATTGCATTCAAATGTGATTGAATTATATGCATTATTAGTTTAAATTGGAACTCAAATTCAAATGATGCAAACTTAATAACATCTAACATAAATATAGATTTCAGGCAAAAATAAAGAAGCAATTAATTGAAAAAAGTTGCAAATATTAGCTTTCATTAAGTTTTAAATTCTTAAATTTAAAAATTTGATTACACTTTGCATCACCCCATAAAGTAGTCCTAAGAAACTATGTGTATTAAAAGATTTAATTACATCTAATAAATTTAAGAAGTACAAATTTTATAAATTTGTTAGTAGTTATTAACTATTACATCAAATATATTACTAATCCACTTGAAAATTAAGTTTGATGGATAAATTTCTGTTTCAAACTAATCATTACATGACTCAAGCGAGCCGATTGAGCTGAGTCGAGGCGAATCAACCGAGACCGAGCTTAATAGAATTGAGCTTCTATCGAACTTTGGTTGAGTCCAGTCAAACCTTGATCGAAATCAAGCCGAGTCAAGTTAAGTTTTTGATTTTAACCAAGCTAAGATGAGTTGAGCTAAAATACAAACGAGCTGAGCCTCAAACTGACTTGGCTCTTTGCTCAAGAAGCTTACGGTGTTTGGTTGATTATGTGCTATAAATTACTCGTAGAATAAATTTTCACATAACATAATACAACATTTGATTAAACGCATAATAAAAATAATTGGCATATGTAATATTTGGTTGGAGGTATTAAATAATATATTAAATTATACAGTAATCTATGTATCGTTTATACGGGATGAATGTGAAATAAGACAATGTGCATTAACAATTCAGGGATTAAACTATATTTAAATGGAAAAAATACCCTTAACTAAGTAATTCTTGTCCATTGAACTAGCTGATGTAAATACATACAATTGGTTATAAAAATTTGTACTCCAACAGAAAACATTATCAATGTGTACAAGTATAACTCAAAGTAAATAGAACTCACGCTTTAGAATGAAATCTTGTGGAATAATACTGCATACTTTCCTAGATATAACCTAAATTAATATTTTGCTGCAAATGATGTCCATATACCTGATCCGTTCTAAATTGCTGGCACAAGGTTATCCATCTATGAGATGGTGTTTACTTTTGTTCTTTTTTGGGATATTTAAACATGTCAAAGATATTTAATACATTGAAATATTATATAATATCCTCTGCAAGTAAAGTAAGCATTCTTAGCTGCAGTTGCCTATCTATATTTTTGGCTTCTGTTTGCAGTGGATTATTCGCAAAATTTGAGTGGCATTATCTCGTATTATGTTTCTTTGTGGATCTCTAGCTATCCAGCTTTGGCTTTTCTCCTTGAGTGAGCCATCAAATAAAGTAAACTGAGCTTGGCATTATCTTTCTGCAATTTATCTTCTCCTCAAACAGTTACTTGGACTCCTATCTAGTTTCGCCTTAGTATCACGAGTGTGCTTGAAAAATACTTAACCACATTCAGTATTTTACATCAAAACAAGCAGTTTGAAGCTTAAGAGTCAAATATTAATTAAAGTGAAAATGCATCACTTAACCATGGTTCGGTGATGAAGGTTGATTGCATGATAGGAGTACATGTTGAACATCGAGTGCACATAAGTTTTTTGCAACGTGCTCCAACTGGGCCTAGATGGGGCTATGTTAACTGGAAAACAGCAGTCCAAAAACCATGGTTCCAGATGAATACATGGAGAATCATCCCTGGTTTCTCTTTTCTTTTCTTTCTTTCCCCTTGGTGGAGAATTCAGCTGAAGACATTGTAGTTTAATTTTTTTTCTAATTCCATTTTCGAAGAAAAACAAAAGAGAAAGATGAACACGTTGGACTGCTATTCGCTTTAGTAACTAGTGATCTCCAGTCATCTTAAACAAAATAACTTTATGACAGTGCTTGCTTTTAATATTTAATATATACACGGCCATCAGTAAACAAAAAAATACTATTGCCATATATATAAATATATATGTACACATATATTTGAGAACAGATACAGACAGAAGATGTTCCTCATAGTCAAAAAGATCTTGGTAAGTCTCGCAGCAATACCTTCTGTTAGAGATTGAATGAAGAGTGTAACTTGAACAAACTCCGAGCACAATCATGTGTTTTTCTCCAGTACTGAGAGTGCTGGTGTCAAATAGTTGTTTGCTTTGTCAGGTAAATGTGCAACCTGCAATGTATATAAGAAACTAAAATGAGAAACAAGATATTATTGGTAGAAGGACAAATTCATCCAGAAAGTGAAGGAAATGCTGTACGATATTTTGCCTTAAATTTTTCAATTGAACCAGACCCCACTTGTGGGACTACACTGGGTATGTCGTCGAAATTTTTCAATTGATAAAATCTGTTAATTAAAGGCCTTACCAGCTCGTACAGCTCCTTCCCGGGTTCAGCTACGTATTCATAACATACCTAGATAAGGGAAAAAAGGTAATTAGCCACTTTTTCAAACTGTGCCATTAAAACAAATAGAGTGTTCCTCACATCAAAGCTCTTGTTTCTGGCTGTCGAATCATGCAATGCCTTCACACATATGTCAGCCACATCAGCACAACTGATTCCCTGCATTTACCCTTACGAAATGTAAGCTCAATTGTAAGTGCAGTAGTACTCTTATGAGTACAGTATGACTCTTACCTGAGATATACGATTTCCTTGATCGAATATGAGCGCACGTTGACCACCTGGTTCTTCCTGCAGGAACCAATCGTTAAAAATCTTCACATTTTGCTATAATATAATATTTTGGGTGGTAGGTCTCTCATTACTTTAAATAGAATTTGAAATAATTTATGGTACAACTGCTAAATCGAGCCCCTGCTTCCTTTAGCATCTGATTAGTGGAATACCGCATTATTTGGCAGCTAGGGGTGGCAAACTGGCGGGTCGGGTCGGATATGAGCGGGTCAAAACAGGTAATTTAAATACGGATAAGTTATCCGATTCAACCCGTATTTGAGACGGATAAAAAACGGGTTTATCCGGCGGATAATATGGATATCCATATTATCCATGACTTCTTAAATATGATCACTTATGAGAGAATTCCTAGCCTTCCAAACTTGAGGAACCCCAATTTGAGGCTTTACAAATGTAAAAGTTAAACACATTAGTTATCCCTTTGGTTAACCATTTTCTAAGTGGATAATATGGTTCTTTATTCATATTCGACCCGTTTTTAAATGGTTCATAATCCAGTGGATAATATGGGTGGATAACTGTTTTCTTTTAACCATTTTGCCACCTCTATTGGCAGCCGCTACGCAGAACTACCCATAGAAATACATCTTTACCACCACACTGACAACTAATTCCATCCTACTCTAACTCTTTGCATTTGATTTATCTTTCAATGAACTTTAGAGCATTGTTCTTAAGCAACAGATTAACACTTGTTCTGACAGATAAGGAGAAAGAACACTTCTTGCTCTCCCACTCAAAGCCTTGATACAACCTATCGACAAACCATATGTGATGTAAGATTAAATGGCGTAAATGGGGTACAAAATTCTGAGCAAAGCAAAAGCTGATTCAAATTCGCCTTATTGCTCAAGGTCAATCCTAAAGTTAACCAGAAGCCAATCATTGACTCGCT